TGTGTGTGTGTGTGTGTGTGTGTGTGTGTGTGTGTGTGTGTGTGTGTGTGACACATTGTACCCCATTGCTGCAACCCGCCACACGTGACCTCTTTTTTTTTTCCCTTTTTCTTTTTTCTTTTTGTGTGTGTGTGCAATCAGACTCGCTTTCTTCTTCACTTCGCATGCATGCAAACAGATTGAAACCCAAACTGGTGCCAGGCGCCCACACAAAGCTCAGAGATATTCAAGTTGAGAGCACAGTTCGGATACAAACTCGTTTCAGATTAGCTATGGCGCCTAAGCGCCTACACAGCTCCCTTCCTGCACTGTATTCACATCAACTGTTCACACGCACACCACACTGGATCTCCCTGGATATCCCACACACCCAACTCACTCACTCACACGCTGTAGACTATCTCTAGGCTATGGCGGCTATGGCCGTCGTCTACCCTGACTAATAGCAGCGATGGCTGTTCTCTCTCCCTCGTAGCCCACTTCAACCTTGGGCATCTGCAGACCACCTCGCACAAGACGCCTGGGCAGTGCTTCCGCATGGCTCACGCAGAATGAATGAATGGTTGGACGCTGCCTCTTGATTTATACTGCCGCTGGTCTGCCCCCTTTCCACCGGGCCCTTGGCGCACAGTCCCACATGGTACTTGCTGACTGGACGAAGTGAGACTGGGACTGGGTACCGCTAACTAAGCAAGGTTGGACTCACCACTTGCCCACTTGCCTCTGGTCTGCTGTGAGCAACGTTCGAAAGGCCACTTCCGGACCTTCCGGAAGCCTGCGGACTTGGCTTTTCCGAACTGTAGCAGCTACGACCTTGACCTGTCAGGACTGTAGCAGCTACGACCTTGACCTTTCAGAATTGCTACAGCTACGGCCTGTACACAACTATGACCCCTACTCGACAGACCTACAGATCGAACCCCTTCAGCTACACAAACCTACGACAGACAACAGTCAACTACCAAGACACAGTTCACGGGTTCTCTAGAAGCTCTGTTCGGGTGAACTAGCGGTCGTCTTCTGGTTCTTAATAGGCAAATCTAACCTTGTACTCTTTCTGTGGACGACCTCTACCTCCTGATCTGAAGACATCTTCTCCTAGCATGCGATCAATGTCGTACCTTCCATCCATATCCGGAGGAATCATAGACCTCCTTGATGGTAACTGTTGACTTGTGGTACAAGGCAACAACTTTAATGCATGAAAAACTGGGTAGGTATGGAGGTGTGCTGGAATCTCTATGGTGTAGGACGGCCCATCCTGTCCACCCTTAACTTCTAGAACTGGCCACGATCCTCTGTAAGCCGGTAACAGTTTCTGTGAGATGTTCTCCTCAGGGGGCAAACTCTTTAGACTTGACCAGACTAAGTCGCCTACTTGGAACTGTGATGGGCGACGGTGTTTGTTGGCTTGCTCTATCATTCGGTGCTGGGCTTTCTTGAGGTTCTCAACTACAGTAGCAATCTCCTTTTCATGCTGTATCGCAAATTCCCTAGTTCCGGTCGGTAGCCTTTGGATCTGATCCCGGTTGAGTCCTTCAAACGGTCTACGCGGCCTAAAGGACTTATGCAATTCGTTGGGAGTGCGACAAGTAGCTCAGTGAACGCTGTTATTATAGGCGCTGGCTACCTTTGGGAGCATCTCATCCCTGTTAACTTGGTCGGGTCTGCTGCAGGATTTTGTTCATCTGCTCAGTCTGACCGTTTGTCTCTAGGTGACGGCCAGATGACATCAACAACTTAGAGCCATACAATCTCATTAGTTTCTTCCAGTTTTGACTTGTGAGCTAGGTATCTCTGTCGCTAACTATAGATAGCGGTAGCCCATGGTCACTGACCCAATGGTCGAAAACCTTCTGTATTACTAAGTTTGTACGTGCCTCTGAGGGCAAAGGAACAAAAACTGCATATTTGCTAAATCTATCACCTATGACCATGACTTGGCTCTTGCCATGTCTACTCCTGACACCTGCGTCCATAAAGTCAACGGATATAGAATCTTCGGGTCCTTCGGGAATAGGCAAGGGTCTGAGAAGACCTAGAGGGGCTCGCGTAGTAGTCTTATTTCTCTGGCATACCTTACAACTGCGAACATACTCTATGCAGTCGGCCTTCATGCCAGGCCACATATATACGCGAATGAGGTTAGCTAATATCTTTTGCCAACCAAAGTGTCCCTCTGTATCATGGCATTCCCCTAGAATCAAACTACGGATCTCTTCACTGTTGGGAACGCACAAGCGGCCGGCTACATTTGTCTTCTCAAATAGTAACCCATTTGTAGTACGGTAATCTGGCTCGGACTCTGGTGACTCCTTAACCCTCATGAAGAGGTCGTTATAAATAGGGTTATGCGCATAGGCTTCCTTAACTTTCTGTTGCAAGTCTCTCCCTATATCCAGATAGTGAACTATTGCTCCAAAGTAATTATCTCTCCTACTTATAGCGTCCGCATCTATATTATACTTCCCTTTAACTGGCTTGAGCTCGAAGTCGAACTAGTCTATCTCTGCGGCCCACCTAGTAAGTTTAGGCGTTGAGCTCGAAGTCGAACTGGTCTATCTTTGCGGCCCACCTAGTAAGCTTAGGCATTATCTTGGCCTGCGTCTTTAACACCCAGTGTCTCGTGGTCTGAATATATTTTGAAGTGTCTCCCAAGCAAGTAGTGCTTCCAATAATCTAGTGTTTGCCTAAAAGCGTTGAGTTCCCTCTCATAGGTTGACGTCGCTACCTTCTCTGAAGGCATTCTCGCAGACATGAACTCTACAGGTCTGTATCCATTGCTATCGTCTTGCTGTAAAACAACACCTATCCCATACTGACTTGCGTCAGTGGTGACAACGAAAGGCAAAGACGAATCGACTACTTTGAGGACAGAATACTCTATCAAAGCCCGTTTTAACTTCTTCAGGGCTGATGTACAGTCTTTGTCCCACTTCGAGATTGCCTCTTTCTTAAGCAACCAACGAAGGGGAGCAACGATGGTAGAAAAGTTTCTGACGAACTTTCTATAGTAATTGGCCAATCCTAAGAATGACCGCAACTCTGTCAATGTGCGGGGAGTCGGTCGGTCTCTAACCGCTGCTATTTTACTGTCGCCAAGCTTTATGTCGTCACCATCTAGGACGTGGTCCAGGTACAACACTTCTGTCTTGGCCCACTCGCACTTCTTCGCGTTGATCTTGAAGCTATCTTCTCTCAGCTTCCCCAAGACCTGCCTCAGATAAGCCTCGTGCTCCAAGAGGGTCTTATTGAACTATAGCGTAGGGGCACTCTCGTTTTTGACCAATAGGTACTCTTTTGCACGACTAGTTGTAGGGCAGGCACGTACTGATTGAGTACCTTTTCGGGTTTCTATTTTTATTTCATTGTTCTCTTTTTTTTTTTTTTTTTTTTTTTTTTTTTTTTTTTTTTTTTTTTTTTTTTTTTTTTTATTCTCGATCGTACAGTGGTTTCTTGGGGACTCGACTGGCAGCATGGGGCCAATTTGGAATTGGCTCGTTGGTTGGCGTCGTTTTCGGTCTTACTGGATAGTTGTTTCTTTCTCCGGGCTTCTTCTCAGACACTTTCTCGAAGTTTCTCAGCCCCCCTTTTCTTTCGGATGGGCCAAACTGGGCCGGAGTATCGGGTGAGGTACCAGGTCGATACGTTGGTGCTATTTTCTGTAGTAGAGGTGCGAACCTGGCTCCCATTTAGTCCACATCCCTTTAGGCCTTTAGTGTCTTCTTCTGATACGTTACTTGGCTTATCGTCTCATGCCTGGCGTACGTCTCTCGTTCTTTTCGTACTTAAACAGTCTATTCTATCTACCTAGTCCCTTTTCCCTACGGCTTATTTGAAGACCCCTGACGAGTTTCGGTTGGCGGCCGGACGAAACGCAGCGTCGTGCGCCAGTTCCTATTGTTCATTTTTTGATGTTTGGCGGCGTGTTTCATGATTAAATTCATGCACGGCCACAGGTCGCGTTTCGGGATTTGGATTACGTCTTTTTCTTTCTTTCTTTTCATCCTTTCTCCTCTACTCTTTCTATTCCCCCTCCTTCCTTCTTCTTCTTCGCTTGTATTACTTTGCGTACGTTCGCTGTTGACCTTTGTTGTTCGGCATTTGTCTAACCCAGCTATTCGCGTCGTAACCATCGTAGCAATTGTATTACGATAGTGTGGCCTCGCTTCGAGCTTCGAGACTTTCAATAGTCGTGCGGTGACCTCTTTCTTTCTTTCTTTCTTCTTTTACCTTTCCCTTTCTTTCTTTCCTTTTCTTCTTCTTTTCATCTTTCTCTTTTGTTAATCATGGTCGCGTCGTCTCGAGATGGTTGTTTCAACTATGGGGAACTGGGGCACTGGTCACGTGAGTGTCCTTATCCACGTAGGAGGCCGCCCGTGGCGACGGGGGCTAACGCTGAGCCTATCTTGGCCCTTCCGGCTGCTACGCAACAGCCCGCTGCTGTTCCCTCGACGTCCTCTAGTGCGTATCTTGCACAGCCGCAGTCTGGATGGTGGAACCGTAACCAGCAGATACAAGACAAGTGAAACGCTTTTGTTAGCAGAGCTGAACAAAAGGAGAGGGATCAACTTGCGGCGGAGGAGCGGTTAAGGCGTCAGCGGGAGAAAGAGGAGGAGGCGGCTCGGGTTAAGAAGGAGCGGGAGGATTTTGAGAATCAGATGGCGCAACGATTGGAGGGTCGCCTGGCACCCATGTACGATGCCATCATGGGTAAAGGGGTTAACAAGTCTGTCGTGGTAGCAGCGGATGACGAAGTCAGCAGACTCCGTCATGAGAACGAGGTGATGCGTGCGAAGTACGGGATCACTGAACCAATGCCTTCCACAAACTTGGTGGATCGATTGCAGAAGGAAAATAACGAGTTGAGGAAATTCGGGGAGGATTTGAAGGCTCGGCTGGAAGGAGGCTTGGCAGCGCTCAAGTGGGAGATCCGAGATTTGAAGGAGCACCATGAATCGGTCGACAGGAGTGCACTCACCAAGAAGATCGATGATTTACGAGCGGAGATGGAGGCGCTAAGAAAGAAGAAGAATCAGAGGAGGCAGCGCATCTTTGGAGGAATGAAGCACTTCGCCCCGGTAACAAACGGGGTAGTATAAACATTGTCACCCCCGGCAGTGAGTGTCGTACGGCTACGCGTTCTAGACTTGCAATTACTCCGGAGGAAACGAGAAGATTAAAGGCGGAACTTCAGGATATGCAGGAACGTCGTCGCTGCGATCAAATCGAGGTCGATATGTTGAAGGATCGGCGGGCTCAGGCGGAAGCCAAACGTATCGAAGCAGAGAAGGAGGTTTCGAGGCTGAGGGAGCAGATGGGCAAGCTGTCCACTGATCCGGTTGAGGCGGCCACCCCACGCGGAGTGGGTACCAATCTGAAGGACAAAATGGATGAGGCGGTCAATTCAGGTCTTCGCTCTGGTAGGCGGCAGCGTTTCAAGATGACACCGGGAAGGTGTCCCAGGGACGGCAGTGCGAAGAAAGCGAACGATCGGTTTGCTTTTCTTGTCGAAGAGAAGAAGAGACTCGAGGCTTTGAAGAAAAGCGGTTTGGAGCTGTTGTGCAGAGAGGTCGGTATCAAGTACAAGACTATCGATTCTACCGTTGACGAGTTGGCCGAAATTAATGCAGATAAAGCCTTTGGTGGATGCAGTGGCACGCGCGAGAAGGTTGATGAGGTGACAGAACAGGGTAAGTCCACTGATGCTGGTTCTAGTGGGGCGGAGGCGGAGGTGGTGCCGGTCCCATCCGACTCTGCTTGATGGGACTCCCGAAATGTGGCTATCTGGGATTTAGCTAATGCTTGTCGGAGGAATCGGGCTCTCTCTACCTTGTCCCTTCGGGATTCTCGATGGAATTCTCTCTTCCAGATTGTTGTGTTGTTACTTATTCTACGGGGGTTGGTCCCGTGGGGGTTGAAGTTCAGATCATACTTGGTGTCGATACTCGAGGAGGGGGTTGATCTCTTTCGTTATTAGGGTCCGCTTGTGTATACCTTGTTGTCCCCATGGCACAAGCATGTGTACGTGGGTTCCACCGGTCGCAGGTTAGGGGGAGCATGTGTATCGTGCGTGTAGTAACTCAGTAATCCAGAAAGGGGATCGTAATCACAAACTGTATAACTGGATGAGGAGATGTGGGCCTGAGCATTATGTGGCGATACCTCTATTTCGATGTGATAGGAACGATTTGCTGGATTTGGAGAAGCTCGTAATCCGTAGGGCCAATCCGTACCTTAATGGTAGGGACCGACCCAAGCGCCGTAGGAAGGCTCGACTGGGAAAAAGGGACCGTAGGAAACGACGGGCTAGGACGTTGGACTGCCAGACTGCGCAGGTAGTACAGGTGCGTAAGAATCACCCGCATACGAGCTTTGTTACCTCCAGCAATGTTCAAACTGCCCGACTACTTGACCTCCTGGAGGGGGCTCGGTCATAAGGTATGAGGGAGCTCACTCTTCGGTGCGTGGGGGGTGATATCCTTCTTGATAATTGGAAGGTCATTTGTAGGTGCTTCGGTGGTTCTATGATTGAAACAATCTTCGGCGCAGGTCTGCTTAGAAAGTGTCGTGGGTGGTTGAGTCCTGGCATGGTGGTGAATTTTCGTTCGATCACTTACTCCTTTTCGACTTTGCTCTGTCTCAAGCCAACTCTGCTTGATTTTTTAAAAGAACCTGCTACGCGCAGTAAGCTGGTTGGTTGGAGTTTGGATAAACTTGTCGGACTTTTCGTTGCCATCAGATGTTTCAAGGATAAGCGCACTCGTTTCACTCTCCGGTGTGTAGTTTCTGGTTCGATTCGTAAGCAATTTGGGATTAATGTACGAACAAGGCTGGTTATCCGGGTCAGATATGACGGTTGTCTGAGCAAGTGTGGAATTAGGCGTCTTTGTTGCGAACTCTTGCGCAATCTCGATATTACCTCTTTTGTTTGTGAAATGTTGGTCAGAAGGTTGAGGGCGGTATGGACCAGGAACTCTAGCGTTGGGGATATCTTGTTCAATTTCCGGGATGTTTCACGACAGTCTGAGCATTCTTGTGATTCCATGACGGACGGCCAGGATTTCCCACGCACGAATGGTCAATTTTGTTTTCGTTTATGGCAGGTTGATTTTGTGCCACAGTTTTTAAAGAATTCTCGGAATATTCCCTGTCCCCTTCGCAGCACCTCGCGTCGATGCCTGGTTCGGCAAATTTCTGCCTCTTTCGCACGTGTCTCCTTTCTGCCAATTCTTGGTAATGAGATGTTTGGGAAGGTTTCCTTGGATTCCTGCTTTAACAGAAATCGGGCTGTGGACAGGACTGCTTTGAGTAGTCCTGAGTCTGTTTTGTACTGGAAGGACCGGTTCGCCAATATGGTACGTGTCCCTATTGATCACAACACCGGTGACACATTGGTGTGTTGCCCGGTGATCTACTGGCGTGGTATGGACAAGCTCTTTCTGGACAATCAGGGCTTTGTGGCATGCAATAGTGAGGAAGAGGTTCGGGAGTTGTTTGCTGCACGATTCCGTGATGAGGGGCTAATGGCACTTGGTAAATGGGACAGGGGCGGGTGTCTGGGCAGGCGTATGTCGTACCGAAACATAAGGATGTTGCGAAATGGAGACCAATCTGCCCCACTTATTCCGAATGTGGGGTCAGAGCCAGCAAAACAGCGGCGCAAGCTATTAATTGTATGCTCTGGGATCTTCCTCCCGTCACAAACTTCAATCTGAAAAGTATGTCGGACCTTGCCACGGCCGTGGGCAGTGTCAATAAGGATTTGAGGAAAGGCGAGCAATTGTTGGGCGCTGCGTTTGATATAAAGGAAATGTTTTGTAATTTGCCGCATGAGGCCATCATCCACGCAGTCCGATGGGTGGTGGACTTTTGGGGAATGAGAGGTTGGTCTGGGATTCTTGTAAAAAAACGGGCCAAGGGAGCCAAATTGAAGAGAGGTAGCAAACAGGAGGGCTGGAGCGTGGTCAAATTTGACATGCTTGTCAAATTTGTTATCGTTGACCTTGACTGCACTTTTGTTCGAGCTTGTGCCCGTGTACTGCAGCAAAAGGTGGGCATACCCCTGGGTAAGTCATCCAGCCCGGCGTTGGCATGTCTGTTGTGCGCATACAATGAGTTTTGTTTCCTCTCGTCTGTTGGATGTGACAGGAAGCTGGTTCATGGGATTCGCACGGTAGACGATGCTTCCTTATTGGTACAGTACGTGAGTAGTGATTCCGAGTCTGTTGTCGTGGCCCAATCGATTTTGACGAAGTTTCGGAGTTGTTATGATCACCATCTGGTACTGGAGCAAACAAGTGGTGGGGATTGCTGGGACCTCCTCGGGTGTGTGTTGAAAGTTCTTGATTGGTCGTGGGGAGTTCAATGCGTGGCTCTGCACAAGAATCAGCAGAATTTTGGTGATGAGAGGCTGCGATTTCAGAATCTCCAGGATTTTCAATCCTTTTCGAGCAAACAGCAGAAAATGGCGGTTATTGGCTCTTGCCTCCACAGGGCTAAGGCCTATACTACAATGAGCGGCATGGAGGTGGCTTTCCTCTTCACTCTCAAGATTGAATTGAGAAAGAGGGGCTTCCCTGATGGGTATTTTGATAATGCATTGATTAGCTTCTCGAATAAGTTCGGGGGGCTCTGGAATGATTGGGTTCGTTGTCTGACCGGGTGGGAAGATCGTTTCAATGAAGTCCGGTTTCGAGTAGGCAGGAACATTCGTAATCGGGCCAGGGGCACTCTTCGGTCCGATCAGTGCGGAAGGAGGTCCGTTTTTCAACAGATAGCGTAGGGGCACTCTCGTTTTTGACCAATAGGTACTCTTTTGCACGACTAGTTGTAGAGCAGGCACGTACTGATTGAGTACCTTTTCGGGTTTCTATTTTTATTTCATTGTTCTCTTTTTTCTTTTTTCTTTTTTCTATTTTCTTTTCAAAAAAAAAATTCCCGATCGTACAGTGGTTTCTTAGGGACTGGACTGGCAGCATGGGGCCAATTTGGAATTGGCTCGTTCATTGGCATCGTTTTCGGTCTTACTAGATAGTTGTTTCTTTCTCCGGGCTTCTTCTCAGACACTTTCTCGAAGTTTCTCGGCCCCCCTTTTCTTTCGGATGGGCCAAACTGGGCCGGAGTATCGGGTGAGGTACCAGGTCGATACGTTGGTGCTATTTTCTGTAGTAGAGGTGCGAACCTGGCTCCCGTTTAGTCCACATCCCTTTAGGCCTTTAGTGTCTTCTTCTGATACGTTACTTGGCTTATCGTCTCATGCCTGGCGTGCGTCTCTCGTTCTTTTCGTACTTAAACAGTCTATTCTATCTACCTAGTCCCTTTTCCCTGCGGCTTATTTGAAGACCCCTGACGAGTTCCGGTTGGCGGCTGGACGAAACACAACGTCGGGTCGCTGCGCCAGTTCCTATTGTTCATTTTTCGATGTTTAGCGGCGTGTTTCACGATTAAATTCATGCACGACCACAGGTCACGTTTCGGGATTTGGATTGCGTCTTTTTCTTTCTTTCTTTTCATCCTTTCTCCTCTACTCTTTCTATTCCCCCTCCTTCCTTCTTCTTCTTCACTTGTATGACTTTGCGTATGTTCGCTGTTGACCTTTGTTGTTCGGCATTTGTCTAACCCACTACAGACTTATCTAACCACGGCCTAAACAAATCATTCATACAGCGCTGAAATGTAGCCAGTGAGGCATTAGTGCCCATATCTGGTTTTGAACGTCGTCTTGTGCTGATCATCAGGATGAACCTCTATCTTGATGAAAGCCTGATTTCAAGTCTATCTTAGAAAAGTATTTGCAGCCCAGCACCCGATCTAATAGATCATCTACACGGGGCAGTGGTTTCGCATTTTTCACTGTGATGGCGTTAAGACCCCTATAGTCAATACACATTCTCAACTCTCCCTCCTTTTTGGGGACAAACAAAACAGGTGCTCCAAAAGGAGACGAACTGGGCCTAATCCAACCCTTCTCGAGGAGCTCGTCTAGCTACTTGCGCAGCTCCTTTAATTCCCTTGGGGACTTTCGATACACTGCTCCTTTGGGAGTTCTATTGCAAAGCTCTATCTCAATGCGATGCTGGATCGGCCGCGATACTACTCCTGCAGGCGGCTCGAACAGATCTGCATACTCCATCAGCAGCTTGGCAATACGAGGGTCCATTGCCTTCTCGGTTCTAAGCTCAGTAATTGGCCTAACGTAGGCTACGAAGACGTGTTCTTCTAATTGTGTCTTCTTTACTAATCGTGTGAATGCGGGAGCACTCAGACAACAATATGCTAAGGGGTTGTCTATCCCTGATACCTGAAACAGGCGAGTAGTCTTGACTTCACCTAAGGGGCTAGGGAGCCTACACTCATGTAGAGTCATGCTCTATGAAATGGAGTGTGGCCCCTACTGCCCCTCCCCAGTCCATTCCTAGGACTAAATCAAACGGGAGATTGTCTTCTATGAGGAGAGTTGGGGAATGGAGAACTCTCTTTACCTTTTCATCTTTCTCTAGGCGAAAGTACACCTGAACTCCCTCTACGTAATCCTCAACTCGCATCGTGCGATTGTCTGCGAGGATGCTGACTATACGTTCCTCTAGTTTTCAGACCTTTAAGTTCAGCTTTAACTTTTGTAGCGCTTTACAACTAATATAGTTAAGGGTGGCCCCACTATCTATAAGGGGCCCTACTCTGCCTCTAAAAATCTCTACGTCTACCAACACTAGTTGTCGTTTCCCATCCTTCTTCATCTTGGCCCAGGCAGGCATCCTTTCCTTCAATTCTTCTCCCATGCTTGTGAGGGAAGTGCCCAGAGAGACCCTC